TCTGTCTCTGTCTGTCTCTGTTTGTCTCTGTCTGTCTCTGTCTGTCTGTCTGTCTCTGTCTGTCTCTGTCTGTCTCTGTCTGTCTCTGTCTGTCTCTGTCTGTCTCTGTCTGTTTCTGTCTGTCTCTGTCTGTCTCTGTCTGTTTGTCTCTCTGTCTGTCTGTCTGTCTCTCTCTGTCTCTGTTTGTCTCTGTCTGTCTGTCTCTCTGTCTCTCTGTCTCTCTGTCTGTCTGTCTGTCTGTCTGCCTGCTTGGCTGGCTGGCTGGCTGGCTGGCTGGCTGGCTGTCTGTTTGTCTGTCTGTCTGTCTGTCTGTCTGTCTGTCTCTCTCTGTCTGTCTGTCTCTCTCTGTCTGTCTCTGTCTCTGTCTCTGTCTCTGTCTGTCTGTCTCTGTCTCTGTCTCTGTCTGTCTGTCTGCCTGGCTGTCTGTCTGTCTGTCTGTCTGTCTGTCTCTCTGCCTGTCTCGGTCTCTCTGTCTCAGTCTGTCTGTCTAGGATCGGTCTGTCAGTTTGTCTGTTTCGGTCGGGCAGGACGCACGGACGAACGCGCCCACGATGTCAATAATGCAGTCTCCTTGGGCTGCGTAACCGGCGTTGCGAACGTTTACCTCCAAAGCCACATACGGACAATCGTGCGCACGATATCAACTTTTGTCCACATTGGAAAAATTCAAAAACCATCAAAAACACACCATTCCCCAAACACAAATGCCCCTTAACCTAAAGCTTAAGCTGTTTAATCCAGTAGCTATCTTGCGGTTTACGCGAAGCCACCCATACAACGCCTCAGCACCTTCGGTGCGGGCGGGTTTTTCCTGTCATTTTCTTTCCCACCATTTCACTACTTTCTTTATTTTTTCATCGCAATGCAACTGTGCCTTTTACACCAACTCTAGGCCTAAGTCCATCCGTTGTCTAGTTTCTATCGTGAAACGGCTGCGCTGGCAGCTATGCAACGCGTGAGATGGCTCGGTACATCAGTTCCAACGCTTACCTCAGCGTAGCTGTTGCATGGTGCGGGCTGTTCAGGTTTATTGCGCGTGTTTGCGCATATTTTTTTGGGTCCAAGTCCACGTTGTGGACCAAATGTGCGCGACAAGTTGCTGGCAAAACGGCAGATTTTAGCTTGCAGGAACTTACCAGCAGTGATTTGCCTCCTCCGCTCCTCTTAGAGGCTGGCTTGGCAAGTGCCATCTCACACATCCATTTGCAAGTTAGATCTCGTGCTAGTCCTAGCTAGGACACATCAACGTTTTGGAAGGTTTTGTTGGGATGTGGGGTCAGGTTTTTGTTGCGCCAAGTCATGTGTTCTCATGTGCGCTGAAATCTTAACTGTATATAATGTGGAGGTGGAGGCATGCTTTTCAATTGAAGCCATCGCTTTTGAAAAACGACCGCGGTTCTGGATATGCTGTGCTACTCTGGCGCACAGAATGCGCCGTCAACAGGGACGCGCGCTCGTGGTCAGCGTCGGCGTGTATCCACGGCCCAACGCCGACGTGCAAGTCGCCGATCGTAGAACAATCACCGGGGCCAGTGACGTCTCTTGGGGCCCGACACGGTTCAAAGGCTGACAACCTGCAAACTGGGGACTGTTTAGAGCCGGACGAGCAAACAGATTGGACACGGTGAAAAGAATGTATATATAAATAAAGAAATAAATCAGTAGTTTAAAAAGAGTATATATGCATGCCACGAAAGATGGCGCGGAGCGTTCGATGTTGGACTATATAGGCTGGACGACGAACGAGTTTGAGCTCCTGTCTACGTGCCTTAAAAACTGGGAAACTGTGGTTTCCTTCTGAACCAGGCTATGGCGCGTCCAAAATTGGGAGTAAAAGCAATCGTGGAAAAGATCGTTTCACCGATCCGAGCGTCAAAGAGTGATAGATGCCAACAATTTGAAAACATGGAAGACGAGCCGCCAAAATTAACCTTGATTCATATATAGATGGAAATATCTTTTTTGAGGTGGCGTCACCTGGCTGCCAGATCCATATTGAAGGGACGCATGGATTTGCCAAGGCTTCTTCATGGCTAGCCCTTTCAAAGTCTTGAGCGTCAATCTCAATGTCACGCTGAAAATCAAATTGCTAAGTCTCGCTCAGGATGATGCATGATGGTGCCGAGCTCAAAGATTGAATGGGCTGTGAAACGGGTGAAGCTCCTCTGTTCAATGCGTGCGCCTTCATCCTGTTTTGTCACCTGCAGGCTTTTGGTATTGATGCACACTTGTTGCGGCTTGAGTTGCCAAAGCGTAGGCAGACCCAAGGGAGCGCGTCACGCCTGCATCAGTGGCGGTCTTGCGTGTTGATCTGCCTTACTCCTTTCGACGCTGAAAGCTTCCTCCATCTCTGCCAAGAGACAACAAAAGGAGCCACCATGGTGGGACAGATGGGCGTTCCCAACATCTCGCCCACCTTGTTGACATGACCTGCGGCGCGGCTTTTGGCGCGCTCTTCAAGGCCTTGCGCGCCTGGCTATCCTCCCATTGACCTCATCTTTAATGTCGTTGACCGGCCCATGCTGCACTTGCGCGCCAAAACGGATGGTTCTGAGAAAAGGCTTCAAGCGATACGGCGGAAGGGAAATATATCAAGTTTTTTGGGGCTGGACCGAAAAACGGCAGGTACAGGTGAGCTTGCCTTCAACGGGAAATTGACACAGTGTATGCAGTACGCGTGTGCTTTTCGCATAAGATGCGCGTCATTTAGACTTGTGGCTTTAATTAAACTTTAAGTGAATGGCAAGGTTTCTGGGGACGAGGCCGTGCGCGCCGTGTTCTTAAGTTTGGAGGGCTTTCAGCGAGTGAGCGGTCTTTGTTATTGCAATCTCTGCAGATTGGTAATGGGCCTACAGTGTCTCTGGTCTCTTTGGAAAGCAAGCAGGCGTGTGGCCGGTGAGCCGAGTTTGAAGCATCTTTCGGCCGTTGTTTTTGGAAGCGCTGCGCCTGGGCCTTCTCCAGGTGCTTTGCTCTGCCCACAGCCCGCTGGAGGCGTTGCGGGCACTGAACACTGCAGGCACTTCAAAGCAGGCAACTGGCGAGGATGGCTGGTGTTGGGACATCAGAGTGCACAATCCGCGCGTCCGAATTCTTTACAATCTTCATGATTTCTTTGGCAAGGCGCCGCCCACGAATGGCCATGTGAAACTGCCTAAGGGCAATCTTGCAGTGCTGGTGGGCTGCGACGGGGACGTTTGGGAGGAGCGCGCGGAAAAAAAACAACCAATGAGTCTTCGTTGCAATTTCATACCAGCTTCTTATTCTCGAGGCAGCGGTTGCTGCAAGTACTTTGAGGGAGAAGGTGAAGGAGAGACTACTTGGAGTATGTGCGGCGGAGTTGAGACCAGCTTTTGGGAGAGTGAGTTTGCAAGTGGGAGTTGGGGGGGTTTTATGACATGTAGCACCAGTTACATGTCATGTGCATAGTTGTGTATAGGTGTAGGTTTCACTGCAGCCGTTCGGGTTTATTTGTTTACTTCAAGCGTGAGCTAAAAGTGTGCCTAAGCTTTGACTCTAACCTTTGGGACCGTGACCCTTTGTCACTACGCTTGTGAGCCTAAAATCTCCGTTCACGGTAGCGGAGCTGAGGTTCTAAGACCCAGCTACCGTCTGCGGATCAAAGGTCGCCGAACTGCATCGGTTCTGGCGCCGGAGATCCGTGAATACAAACATCACAAGCAGTCCGGCTTTCTTGCAAGCCAACATGGCGCAACAGCCAGGAGTGCAGGTGCAACCTACATGCAGACATGGCACAGCAATTCGCACAGATGATGCAAGCACTATAGCACAAGGGCAGAACCAACTGCAACGAGCAATGGCAGAAGCATACGCCCAGCAAACGGCTATCGCGCGAAACATCGCAACCATTGTGGAAGTGCGAGACAGATCAGAACCCCAAAGCCTGACAAGTTCAGTGGACAGACTGGTACCTGGCAACATGGTACTTGAAGTTCAAGACTTGGTTCGAGACAAGTCACAAGAACGCAGGAAAGTGCATTCAGCTGCTTGAGGAGCACCAAGATGCAGAGATCCATGAGACATCTCTGGAAGAGGATTACCCTGTAGGAGCCGAGCTTGTTTCAGCTCAGGCCCGACAGGCTCTGATCTTACCTCAAGAGGTCAGCACTTTGGCCTGGAGGCATTGCGACGATTGATCACTAAGTATGATCCACAGAACCCACAAGCAAATTCAGCACTGCTGAAGAAAGCTTGGCGCCCACAGCAATGTGCATTAGACAAACTGCGAGAAAGCATTGAAGCCTGGGAAAATATCAGGCGCAAGTACGAAGTGATGATATTGCCAGGGGCTGTCTGCAACAGATGTGTCCAGCAAAGCTCCAAGATCACCTTGACCTCCAGAGTTCAAGACTTCACAGACTATGACACCATGAAGTCAGAGATTTTGGCCTATCTCGAGAACATCGAGAGCCGAAGAGAAGCAAGACAGGATCAGCGCCAATGGGTGTTGATGCATTGGCCGCAGCTGCCAGCCAGATGCAAGCTTCACTTGCGAGTCTGGCAAAAGCCAAAGGAAAAGGCAAAGGTTGCTCAAAAGGCGGCGAAGGGAAAGGAAAGAGTCAAGATGGAGGCAAGGGAAACGACAAAGGTAAACAGAAAAGAAATGTTCGAGTTGGTCCAATTCCCCATCATGGAGCAATTCATGGAATAAGAATGATTGGCACAAGAATGATTATTGGAACAAGAGTAGTTGGTATAACCAGAACTCCAAGGGTAAAGGCAAAGGTGGCAAAGGTAAAGACTCTAAAGGTAAGGGCAAGAGTAAGAGTAAGAAGGTAGCTACAGTTGAAGAATCTGAAACCTCTGTGGCTCAAGAGCATCAACCCGTGCCCGAGTATTGCGCTGACATCGCCACTCTCTTTGCCCTCGAGATGGAGAAAGCAGCGTTGCAGCTGTTGTAAGTGCAGTCATGAACCAAGCCATCCAAGACACCATGCAGTCCAATCGTGAACTGTATGAGAAGAAGTCTGAGTCGATCCAAAAGGCCATCGAAGAGGCTGAGGCTCAAGGCAAGGCAGCAAACCAAACCATCCTTGAGCGACAGGAGGAGATGAAGCAACTGCGAAAGCAGTTTGCCGAGAAGGAAAGAGAAGCCAAGATTCTGCTAAAGAGACCAACCTCCAGCCGCGCTGCTTCGGTGCCGGCGGAGTCGCCAAGGCTTGCAGCAGATTTGGCATCAGGCATGGATCCACGATTGGCGAAGAAGAAGGAGAAGAGTCGTCATCGTGCTGAGCAACATCGAGTTGGAAGCGCCCAAGGTTGCATTGAATCTTGGCGCGAATATGAGGCCAATTACCCTGAGGAGCTCGACTACTATGAGATCGCTCGTGCCAAGGGTACGGGTCGACTCCAAGCTTGGGATGATGAAGATGATGATGAGAAGAAGTTTGAGGAAGCGCCTCAGCCTCGAGGTCGAGAGAAGGCCCAGAGGCCTCGTGGCGGTAAGAAGCCAACAAAGGCAGAGAAGGCTGAAAAGCCAAAAGGAAAAGACCCCAAGATGGCAGATCTCTCCACCGCCGAATTGGCGGAGTTGAAGCGGGAGAGTCAAGAATGGACGACTACAAGTCATCCAGCCCCGCAATGTCATTGAGAAAGCCCTCACTGCCACAGGCTTCAACCCAGAGGACTATGTGGTGATGAAGCGCAGTGACCGTGAAGGTGAAGGGGCAACCAGTGCGCCATCCTTCACAGCACCAGTCATGCAAACCATCAATCCCTTGGATGTGACAGGGATTGAAGGACTTGATGATGCAGAATATGAGGAAGAAGCTGAAGAAGATGAGAATGGCGCAGAGCCAGCTGACGAGGACGATGATGGCGAGCGAGATGAAGAAAAGGCACCAGAAGAGGAAGATGATCCCGTGCCATGGCTCGACCACATGTACAAGAAGCGTGTCCTCAGCTATGAGGAATGGGTCGCCAAGTGCGCCCACAAGGACAAGAATGGCCGCAAGTTCATGGTATGCCATGCGTGTCAAAAGGCCCTGAAGTGCGATAACGACTCAGGACTGTGGAACCATAACTGCTGTCCTGCGAAAGTGCTCAACCAGTGGGCCAAAGAGTGCAGAAGAAGATGGCCTTCATCCAAAAGGAGCCGAGGAAGTCCTACTTCCAAGAATGCTCCACAGCACGTGGCGAATGCTGACATGGTCTTGGAGCCTGAGGATGTTGCGAAACACTTCAAGATGAAGGATCCCAAATGGGAGAGCTACAAGAAGGAGCCACCCTTCTACATGACCTCCCATGTGCAGAAGATGATGGCTGAAGAAGATGAGGAAGAAGATACCGGCCCAAAGACGCCAAAGCAGAGGCGCATGGCAAAGACATCTCCTGAGAAGAAAGGGAAGACCAAGGAGGAACGCCTGGCCTGGTTCAAGAGTTCGCACGAGGAGCATATGGAGCGATTCCGCCAGCCAGAAACCAAGCAGGAGGAATCGAGCGAGGCTCCACGGCAGATGCAGGTCCCGTTCTCCGGGGCAAGGGCCGATCCGGCTGCCTCCGAGAAAGGCCGAGAGAGAAAGGCAAACAGAAGCAAACGAAAGTACAGCTGACTCGAGCTGTCAATGTGGCAACCCAAGATGCCGCTCGTGAGGCCAAGAAGGGAAAAGGAAAGCGGAATTCCAACACCGACAAGTGAGCCAAGTGAAGGTGAAGGTGACTCATCGGCTCTCAAGACTCGCCATGGCCCATCAGGTGACTTTGGATTCAGGCGCAGCCACCTCCTGTATCCCAGTTGAACTCGCCGCAGCATTGGGCTACAAGCCTGTTCAGCCGGAAGGCTCGAAACTCCAAGATCTACAAGACAGCGTCAGACGAGACGGTGAAAGATCTTGGTAGATCACTGCCGGCAATGGAGCCCTGACGGGACAGTGCAGCTTTCGAGTGATGGCGGTCTGAAAGCCATCTTTCTGCAGGAGCCCTTGCTGACAAGGGTTGGTCCATCCAGATGAGCAAGACTGGAGGACTCATTGCTGTCATTGCTCGTGATTGGAAGAAAATCCCAATTTCCTTTTGCAACGGAGTGTACTCCGTGCCGATCGTGTTCCACCATTTCACCCGGCGCCGATGTGGGTAAGTCCGGTCATGGACGAAGAGGCCCCGGCAGAATTTGAAGCCGCTGAGGCCGAGCCACAAGACTGATCAACGCTCCAGTTCGCCCAACGCGAAAAAAGCTCGAGAAACATTCAGTTTCACATTTTCCTTTTCGTTCGTGGTGTGAGGCCTGCATTAGAGGCAAGGCCAAAGCCAATCCTAGCAGCTTTGAAGCTACTACTCACATCGCAGTCAGCGATAGCCTTCCATTGGAGAAAGGCGAGAGAAGAAAGACCAAGCAATCTTTTCTAAGATTTTAGACGTGAAGAGAGCTCATTTCTACTCCAAGGCGACCAGAGAACTTTATGTCGAGATCCCATCTGAAGGCAAGAAGCCAGAAGATGGAGATGTAGTTGGAAGATTGGTCAGAATTGTATGGCGCCAGAGACGCACCCATGCACTGGGAACTGACCATCGCAGAGTTCATGAAGAAGTTAGGATTTTTGCAAGGTAAGTCAAATCCATGTACTTACTACCATCCAGCCAGAGAACTTCGAACAGAAGTGCGTGGAGATGATTTCACGACAGTAGGAAGTTTTGAGGACATCAAATGGTTTCACACCTCAGCAGCCAAAGAATGGCAAGTTGTGGAACGAGGCGTTTTCGGTCCACCTGAATCACCAAAAGACAGTCAACAGATCAGAGTGTTGAATCGTATCATCGCTTGGTCAAACGAAGGCATTTGGTGGGAACCCGATCCACGACGTGCAGAGTTGATCATCAAGTGGTTCGGGACTGGTCAACCAGGCAAGGTCAAAACCCCATTGGCCAAGCCAAGTCAAGAGGAGTTACAACATGAAGAAGTTCCTTTGAGCGCCGAAGATGCTACGATGTATAGATCTATTGCCATGCGAGCCAGGTATTTGGCACAAGATCGACCTGATCTGCAAACAGCAACGCGCTCATTGGCGCAAGGCCTACAGAATCCAACTTCAAGGCGCTGGAACATGCTGAAACGATTGCCAAGATATGTCAGGTATCGACCAAGAGTTGCGCAGCTGTTTCCAAATCAGAGCACCTGTAGCCCCCTCAACATGTGGTCAGATGCCGACCATGCAGGACGCATAAGAACACGAAAGAGTGTGTCAGGAGGCGTGCTCATGGCCAACAAATGCAGTCTCACTACCTACAGCAAAGGCCAAGGAGTTGTCTCCCTTAGCAGTGGCGAACCCGAGTATTATGGACTTGTTTCTGGAGCATGTCAGATGCTTGGAATTGCATCAACTGCCAAAGACTGGGGATTGTTTCCCGGCAAAGAGGTGACAATGGACGCTTCCGCTGGCGTCGCCATGGGAAGCCGTCGAGGCTTGGGAGGAGCCAAACATGTTGACACTCAGTACCACTGGGTACAAGAGCGTACAGCAAAGAAAGAGTTTCGTCTCAAGAAAGAGGGCGCCGCGATGTGCTAACGAAAGCTGTCACCGAGGAGAAGATGAACGTTGCAATGAAGGGCATGAACTTTCACTACCTGGAAGGTGAGCATGAACTAACACTGAGAGCTTGAACGGCTTGAGCTAGAGTAGGTACTTCTTCCAGACCAAGATGTACTGAAGGGCTACGAGCTAATTCATTCATGTGCTAACCCTGACTCGCTTAGCTTCTGCGAGATCTTTGAACTCGGGAGGCGTGATCAGATGTAGCACCAGTTACATGTCATGTGCATAGTTGTGTATAGGTGTAGGTTTCACTGCAGCCGTTTGGGTTTATTTGATTACTTCGATTCAAGCGTGAGCTAAAAGTGTGCCTAAGCTTTGAATCTAACCTTTGGGACCGTGACCCTGAGTCACTACGTTTGTGAGCCTAAAATCTCCGTTCAGTTTTGCCCGGAAGCACTTGCGAAAGGGTTCTCCACAAAGATCATCATCATCATCTTCAACGTGGTCATCGTCACTATCACCATGATCACCATCATCATCGTCATCATCACGGTGTCGCGGTGCAAATATCATCGTCGTCGTCATCATCATCATCGTCGTCGTCGTGGTGTCACGGTGCAAATATCATCATCATCGTCATCATCATTATCATCATAGATTTGCCATCGTCGTCCTCATCGTGGTCTTCATCATCATCGTCATCATCAGCATCTTCTTCATCTTTTTGATCCTCCCGCAAGTGCATACATCGTGGGCGCAATTTCACGGCCCTGTGTGTCACAGACGTGCAACCATGCGCCCCCGCGCCACCAATCATACCCGGCACCAGCGAGACAATGTGTACAGTATATACTACAAAGTTGCCATGGTCACAGTGCCGGAAGCGGGTTCTGACATGGACACGACAGCTCCCAGAAACTGCTTCCCAGAAAGTGCTTCCCGCGGCCCGCGTTGCATTTGCGTCGGAGACAGTTACACACTTTGGCAGCGCCCACCTTCATTTTTGACGACAGTTACACACTTTGAATTTGGCGACATCTACCGACCTTTGTTTTCGACGGCTGCAGGTGCACATTTTGGCAATGCCCCCCTTCGTTTTCGACGAGAGTTACACGTTTTCCATTTTCGTTTTTGACGACAGTCTTACACTTTGGCCACCTCCACCGCGACTTTTGGACGACAGTTACACGCTTTGGGAACTCAACGAGCGCAATATCCGCAAAGGGTTTCACAGGCGCGTCCAAATTCGTATTTCGCTTCACTTGAGTACTCGACTGGTCCACAGCGCGGCAAAATTACATCTCGCCCTGCCATGCGCGCGGATTGGAGGAGCGTGGAAATTGCATCTGCGCAAGTCTGTGCCATTGGGGGAACACGATGGCGTGCACGCGGCGTGTCGTTGGTGAGTGGGATGGTTGGTGGCGCGGTGTTGCGTGTTGCGTGTTGACATCTAGTCTGTAACACGGGGTGCGGCGAAAATACGTCCACGATGCTGTGATTGCGCTGCGCCGCGTGGCGCGGCCTCGGAGGAAAATGTGTTTGCGTGAGTCCGCGGCGAGGGGGGGGGAAGGATGATTGGTGGTGTGGTGTGACGTGATCGCGGCCTTGTGGTCCGGAAGGGAAATGGATTGGCGCGCCCCTAGGGGAAAGTCCGTTTGCGTAACTCCGTGCCAGCGGCGAAAATACGCCCGTCTACTTTATCTTGGCGTTGTGAGTTGTGATCAGATAGTCGTCGCTATTCTTACATCATCATCGCCGTCATCGTCGACACCATGGTCAGCAGTCAACTTCATCTTTAACTTTGTTACAGTCCTCACCCTCATCGTTACCTTCTGTCGTCTCCTGCACTTTCGGGCCACCCAGTCGTCTAAATTACTTAATCCTGAGCATCTTCAATGTCGTTTTTTGTTGGTGGCATTGTCGCGTGGAATTGTTAAACTATGTCACTACGTCAGTGCTTGTATATACGTTTGCCAGCTCTATCGCCAGGAGCTGTCAGGCATGGATGCCTTGCCGCCCGTGGTGCTTGATCGGGGCGCGCAAGCCGTATCGCTTGTCAAGCTTGGCAAGGCGAGTAAAACGAAGAGCAACATTATGGTTCTTGCGTTCCAGGGATATGCATCCTAGGATGGAACGCGAGAAACCAAGACTTGCTCATGGCTCCTTGTGCCAGGACGTCGCTCACGGTGAAGTGATTTGCTCGGCCCCAGCCATTGCCGATGCGCTAGCAGTTCTCGCTGTCCCGTGAAGTCTCGCGTATAGGGGCTCAAGGCGTTGCTTGCCTCCTGCGTTCCTTGTTGAGCAAGCAGACACCTTCCGTCAAACTGTGACCAGGGATGATGCGAGTTCATGCAGATATATCGGGCGCTGGGGAGCCAACTTTAGGGCCTATAGGGTTCGACAAATCTGGGCCAAAGCAGCTACAAAAGTTCAAAAACGCGCACGGTAGACAGATGACCAGGAGCGAATATCAAGTTATCTCCTGTCAAGAAACTTCCCCAGGCGTCCTTGCAGAAAGTAGCTTTGTGGTGAACGATGATGGTTTCACAGCTGTAGAGGCCAATCAAATACTTACTCGCGAAAAAACAGAGATTGCCAGGCAAACCGGTTGCGTGTAGCATTGGTTTTACAGTTCTATTTTAATCTATATAGAGAATATTTATATGCACGCATGTGTATATATATGTACAATGTGAAGGTATTAATGTATGTAACGTGATGTGATGTAATGTAAGGCAATGTAATGTGATGTAATGTGGTGTGGTGTGATGTGATGGGTTGCAATGTAATGAAATGTAATTAAAAGTAAAGTAACATATGTTTCTAGTTGTTATAAATATGTACATGTATATTTCCCCAAACAGTTTGCTGTTAGGGGTTCTCAATTCTTTCTCAAAATGTGTCCGCCCTTTGTGTCACTGCTGGTGTCCGCCCTTTACCGCTGGCCATGTAGCATTTCTATTCATTTGTCTCCCAGGTCTGTCGCTGCTGGTGTCCGCCCTTTTCCGTTGGCCATGCAACGTTTGAGCATCAGCAGGGCTGTGGCAAAGAAGCCTGGGAAGATGCCGTCACGTTCCGCCTCTGCCTTGCAGTCCTTCAATTTACATTTGTCTCCCAGCTCTGACTGCTGTGTCCGCCTCTGCCTTGCAATCCTTTACACTTGTCCTTGCAATCCTTTGCATTTGTCTCCCAGCTCTAGACTGCTGTATCCGCTTCTGGGCTGCATGTGCCTACATTTGTCTCCCAGCTCTGGACTGCTGTGGCCGCCTGTGCCTTGCAACCCTTTGCTTGCAACCCTTTGTCTCCCAGCTCTGACGCCTTTTCTGCTGGCCATGCAGCATTTCTATTCATTTGTTTCCCAGGTCTGTCACTGCTCCGGCTGGCCATGTAGCATTTGTATTCGTTTGTCTCCCAGGTCTGTCGCTGCTGGGTCCGCCCTTTTCCGTTGGCCATTTCTATTCATTTGTCTCCCAGGTCTGTCACTGCTGGTGTCCGCCCCTTTTCGCTGGCGATGCAGCATTTCTATTCATGTGTCTCCCAGGTCTGTCACTGGTGGTGCCCGCCCTTTTCCGCTGGCCGTGCAGCGTTTCTATTCATGTGTCGCCCAGGTCTGTCACTGGCGGTGTCGGCCGTTTTCCGCGTATTCATTTTTCCCCATGTCACTGCTGGTGTCCGCCCTTTTCCACTCGCCATGCAGGATTTCGATTCATGTGTTGCCCATGTGATTTCTTTCTTTTGGTCTCCCAGGTTCGGTTGCCCTTTTCCGCTGGCCATGCAGCGTTTCTATTCATTTGTCTCCCATGTGATTTCTTTTCTTTTGTCTCGCAGGTTCTTTTCCGCTGGCCGTGCAGCATTTCTATTCTTGTGAGTTTGAGGTAGGCCACAAAAATATGATTTTAAATTATTTTCTTTTATGATTTTGTTATGTTTTTTTTACGTTTTCCTTATGATTTGGTTACGATTGACTTTATGAAATTTTATGATTTTTTGGTGGGTGTGTTTTTTGGATATGATTTGCTTATGGTTTCGTTATGCTCTTTGAGGTCTGCAATTTCACATATACAGAGCCTTTTGGGTTGCAAAACATGGTAGTTGAGATGTGTGTTCAGCCAAACTTGTGGTGTATTTTCACAAGATTTCCTCTGCTACAAAGAAAGAAAATACATTTTTCAGAAAAACCTGGTAAACTGCGAAAAATCTTTGTTGTTCTGCAAGTCTCTTGGTCCGTTCTCTGGTTGGTTTTAAATGCAACTAAAGACTACTCAGGAATAGAATAGTCTCTATTGTATGATGGGTTTTGAGAACTAACTAGTGACTAGTGACTAGTGTTCCCAAAGGAACCTCTTCACTAATGAAGGCAGAGAGGAGTTGGCCTTCATACATGAGTTCACACCTTTCCTAGGACAGCACACCTGGGTCTAGTACACACCTTGGCCTAGGGCCTAGGACAGTAGGTTCTATACTAGGCCCTAGGCCCTAAACTACCCATCCACCCATGGCCTGGGACCTGGGAACTGCAAGCAATCCATATCTCAGAACCATTGGTCGTCTGAAAGCGTAACAAAAACATAAGAAATCCATAAGGCCCTGCATAACGAAATCATATCAAAATCATATCAAAATCATATCAAAATCATAAAAACATGGGTCTGGGAATTAGTTTTATGATTTTGTTATGATTTTGATATGATTTTGTTTATGATTTTGTTATGATTTTGTTATGGTTTTGATATGGTGGGCCGCAGGTGGTCTCACCCTGCCTGGGTCACCTCAAAAAATTTGACGCTTGAGGTTTAGGGTTTAGGGTTCAGGCTTTAACCTTTGGCCTAGGGCCTAGGACACGCCTGGGGGAGTACACCTTTCCTTCGGGTCACTAGGGCAGTACACCTTTCCTTCTCTACTACACACCTTTCCTTCGGGTCCTAGGCAGAAGGATTTGTAAGGCAATAGCTCAATAGCTACTAATAAGCTAATCAACAGAAAGGACGCCAAGCGTCCCTACGTTGCTTGGGCATGAGCATTGGGGTGCCTCCTTGGAATGTTCAACAACTTCCCTTCGCTGGTGAAGCTTACTTACTTAGTTTCTTAACCAAACCACTATTTTTCAAGTATGCAAACATATTCGCACCATATTTTCACAACTATATGGCGATCTTTTTGAAGTACTCAAAAAACACTCTCAAACCATATCTTTTTCATAATACTTTTTGGTGGCAGTTTAAAACCATAAGAAAATCATAAACATTTTCATATCAAATTCAAGGGCTCCTTAACGCGCATAAAAAAACCATTAAAAAAACATAACCCACAGTGTATCAAAATCATAACAAAATCATAACAAAATCACAAAAGAAAATAATCAATGAAATATTTTTTTGGCACTAACCTCAAACTCACAATTCTATTCATTTGTCTCCCAGGTGATTTCTGCACTTTTGTCTCCCAGGTTCGGTGCCTGCGCTGCTGCATTTCTATGCATTTGTCTCCCAGGTCATTTCTTCACTTTTGTCTCCCAGGTTCGGTGCCTCCGCTGCTGGGGTCCGCCCTTTTTGCGCTGGCCATGCAGCATTTCTGTTCATTTGTCTCCCAGGTGATTTCTTTCCTTTTTTTTCCAGATTTGGTGCCTGCGCTGCTGGTGTCCACCCTTTTCCGCTGGCCATGCAGGGCTTCTATTCATTTGTCTCCCAGGTGATTTCTGTGCTTATGCCTTCCAGGTTCGGTGCCTGCGCTGCTGGGGTCCGCCCTTTTTGCGCTGGCCATGCAGCGTTTCTGTGCATTTGTCTCCCGTGTATTTCTTGACTTTTGTTTCCCACGTTGGGTGCCTGCACTGCTGGTGTCCGCCCTTTTCCGCTTGGCGTGCAGCATTTCTATTTGTTCCCCAAACGGTTTACTGTTAGGGGCTCTCAATTCTTTCTTAAGATGTGTCCGCCCTTTCTGTCACTGCTGGTGTCCGCCCATTTCCTATTCATTTGTCTTCCGCGACATCTATATTCATTTGTCTCCCAGGTCTGTCACTGGCGGTGTCCGCGTGCGTGACTGTTTCCGGACGGATTGCATTCCTGCCACACTGTGTAACTCTCTCAGCTTTGTTTTCCTTTTCGGGCAAGCGTTGGATGAATGACCGGAG